TCAAAGCCTTCAGTTGGCCATGCTAATAATACTAGCGATCCAATAAATGTCTGGCAGACCAGTAAACCTTGATTTATGTGCTGTAGGAGTAAGAAACCAAAAACTCATGTCATGAAGAGAAAAATGTCTGATCCAATGTAGGAATGTCATGTCATGTTGTTGTTGTTTTTTTATTTTAATTTTTTATTTTTATTTTAAATATACTGTGTTTGAAAACATTTCCAAGAACAGCTCCGGTCACTTTAGACCAGTGTTATTCAACCCTGGGATCATGACCCCACTTCTAATAATTGTTGTTGTTTTTTTTAAAAAAAAATACTAATAAATACATTTTTTTAAATGAATTATATTTTTTTATTAACTCTGTATTAAAAACGCAGCATAATAACCACGATCAAAAACGTTTTTGATGAGCAGAATTTTGTGACCTCAAAATGGGATCACGAGCCAAAAATGGGGTTGGGAACCACCGCTTTAGTACCGTTATAGAACTGAAGCAGTTCTGATGTGTAGAGGCTGTAGGTCTGCCTTATCGTTGTTGGGTGACGGTTTACGAAGTTTTTTAAAAAGTAGTTCTTGCCACTGATGGCTTGGGGTCAAAGGTCAAAGTTAGGGGCTGTTGTTGTTCCAGTTGAGGATTAGAGTCTTTCCGAGGCCGTCGGGTGTCTGCTGCCGATCACAGCAGTTGTTGGACGAGAGTGGGCTCCGAAACGCGCCTGCATTCTGGCATTGTTTTTGTTTTGTTTTTTCTTAACTCGCAACTCACTTGTCTCACTTAAAATGAGCCCATGACGTCGTTAGCGTCGGCGCCCTTGTGTAGTCATTCTCGATGTCTGTGCGCTAGGTTGTATGTTGAAGAAAGTGACTTCCTCCTCCACCTCCCCCCACCCTCCTCACCCCTAACCCCAGAGAGACACACACGAAAGAAGAGGCTAACAGAAAATCTCACTCGGAAATCAATCTGCCCCAGAGAGCCCTCTGATGGACAGAGGCGTTACTACATCAGACGCCAGCGCTTTAGCTTTGGTTTCTCCCCACATGGCAGTTCTCTTTACATATTCAAAGTCATATTCTGCATCAATAGTGACTTTCATTTAATCAGTTTTTTTATCAACCTGGGGGTCGGGACCCCACGTTGGGACGCCGGCAATTCAAATATGTTCGCCTGAAATGTTATTGATAAACTCTACTGATAAAAACAAATTTTCAGCAAAAAAAAAAAAATTGTACTTATACTAAATAAATATATAAATGGAGTTCAAATAAAATGCAGCCCCTACTTGAGTTCGGGCGCTTCAAATATTAATAATAAAAAACAGATTCTCTGGGGTTTCCATAATATACTGATAAAAACAAATTTTCAGCAAAAAAAAAAAAATTGTACTTATACTAAATAAATATATAAATGGAGTTCAAATAAATTGCAAATTTGTGATGTCAAATTTCGTAAATTTTGTAGTTTGCGTCGTGACATCGATCTGATTGCTGGAAGAATTTCTAGAAAGTCAAAATGGCGTTATCCACTGTTGTCGTTACTGCACTGGTCAGAGAAAAGCAAAATGTGACGCATGACCGATGCCCACCACAAGATATGTCTCAAATAGGAACTTCCGATATTACATTTTTGCCGATATCTGTTTTGCCAATATTGTCCAAACACCGATTCCGATATCAACCAATACAGATAAATGGAGTTTATTTAACTGCGAATAACGACAATAATCCACTTAAACTTCAAACCTACTTTTTGGGCGGATCCCAGGCGTCGCATTATCGAGTTTTATTTATCGGAGGAAATGTCGATAAAGATTCTTACCAATATTACGTAATTGTGCGGAAAATATCTGTTGGCCGATTTATCTTTGAACAACCTATATCTTAGCTACTTGATTTAACGTCGTCCTCGTCACAAGTTCATTTATAACGGTGTAAATCTGGTCCTTCTTTAACGCTTTAACTAAATATCAAAACAAACCCTTCGGTTTAGTTTACTATCATTATTATTCATCCCCTTTTTTTTTTTCCTAGCGTCGTACCGCTGCATAAATGCAACAACTATTTGTTAGGTTAGGCAAACGCCGTGTGGTTCGAACCAGGTTTTCTTTGTTTTACGTGTCCATATAAATCCACAGTCGTTGGAATGCATGTCCAGAGGTCGACCGCCCAGTGTTTGAACTGCAGGCCTCCTCCTAGCACCGTTCGCGATGATTTTTTTTGCGACCCTAACCAGACTGGCAGTTTTCATAGGTGGGAATGTGAAAGCTGTCAACAGACTGCGTTAAGTCTTACTTCAATATGAGTTTGAAAATGCGTTGCTCACTTACTCTGAACACACATACCCATAAACCTTGGGCCATAGGAGGAGTGCGGCGGTGATCGGCACTAGCGCCCTGTGACATCACGCCTTATCCTGCAGGACGAGAATCAAGAGAGAAATGTGGAAACTGACATTTGCGTTTTAAAATCTCGACAGAATAAGAGTTATTCGTAAAACGCGGTATCACAATAAGATTGATCTCGGTAACCTGTCCGATTTATTTTAATAAAAAATATTTTTAAAAAATGTACAATGAAAAATATATAACATGATATGTTTATATTTGTAAATAAACTCTAAAACTGGGAGCTGAGATTCACCTCGGGATACGACCACGGACGCAGCAAATATCCGTATTACAACCGAACACCCGTCTGCGCTCTTGTAGCACACTTTTACTGTGTGTCGTGACATGGTGCTAACCACTTATCCACAGGGGATAAAACCATAGTTTTACAGCAACACTTAAAGCATCATCGCTAAAGCCGCAGCGGAGGACGGGCGAAGATTGGACGAGTGAAAATGGAGATCAATTTGTGAAACGTCAAGCGACATTTTAAAGACACTGACCAGGAGGTAAGTTCATATTTTATTATTTTTTTTATCTTCTTGTGGACGTTTTAAAGTTGCGTCGTCGATACTGTATTGTTACTTTGAAAAAATAAAATACTAATAATTCTGTACGATTTTAGATTTTTTTTTTTTCTGAAGTAAAAAAACTGCTATACCTCTATAAAAAAAATAAATATAAAAACTGCTATACCTCTATAAAAAAAAAACAAATTTAAAATGTTTCTGTGATTTAGTGATAACCCAACTCAGGCTTTATGCTTAAATATATAAATGGTTAGGGAAAAAAAATTATCGAGACATTTTACAGTAGCGTTAAGATCGAATTGACTGAAAAAAAAATGACGATAACACCCCATATTTTAATTTTTAAAAAATATTTATGTGCTGAGTGTGTGCGCTTTTGTTGTCTGTTCATTCATGCTAGCATGTCTGTGTGTTTCAGATCCTTGGAGATCTGCTGCCGTCGCGTCGAAGCGTTGTACAAAGAAGAGTGCTTTCTTGAACGTCAAGATTCAATACCTTCGTAAAAAGAACAGAACGGAAAAAAAAACCTGACAGGATCAGATATCGCAAGAAAAGCGATTCAGCTCTTGCATCAGGGATGCCTCAAATTCACACTTTATTCACGTTCAATTTCATTTTGATGTGTCTAGTTAGCTCAGGGTCAATCCTGATAGGTCGATCGTGATCTGCCAGTATATCGCAAAGGGGGTGCTGGTAAATCATGAGCAACTAAAAAATAAAATATTTAAATAATTATAGATGTGATTCTATTTCTAGATGCTAATCACTACGGCAAATCCTGCTGACTTTGGAATTCTGACCTTTGCAGGAAATCAGAGTTACCAGGGAAAGTCTTCGCAAACGGGTAAAATAACTGTGTTACCCATACGCTCTGGACACGTTCTACAAGCTGTTGTTAGCATCTGCGCTAATGACTAAAAATCCACCAACGCTATGAAACACGTAGTTACTGTATGTCATACCGTTGCGTCATTCGTTTGACACAGAACAGGTATGAAACGCATACATCTACCTGCCTGTTATTTCTTGTCTCTTATCAACCGCGATTAATCGAGATCAATGACGATCACGATTAATTGTGCGATTGAGTCCTGGTTTTGTATTTCATTTTACAGTTGACGCACTGAACCGTGACGTACAAACAAAGTTCAAATAAACAAAATTGAGTCCATTTATATTTTTTGCCTGATTGTTGTTTAACATAAGGATTACATGTTTTATAGACGCACACATTAAATCCAAAGAATCCAACAATACGTTGTATTCTTTAAAAAAAAAAAAAAAAAGTATTGTTCAACTGGAATACACGCAAAACTCACATGTACACGCTCAGAGTAGCGTAAATCAAAACCGCTTCTTTGTCATTTTGGACGGCGATAGATTTTTTTTTTTTTTTCACTTTATCGTCACTTTTGCAACTATTTATCGTGAGGTCACATCAACTGGAGTGTAGCGAGACAGATATACCAGCGGCATATCTGTGGTGGCAGACTTTCGGACGCTGTTGCGCGGGCTAAAGTTAGAGTCGGGGTAATCACGGCAGCAACCTTCTCCAAAATGTCTAGTAAAACCTTTTACGAGAATACCAAAAATTTAAGCACCTTTCAAGTTTGACTGACTTAGCACGATGGGGAAGCAGGTGGCCCACAGCTACACATGCCACAGTCAAAGCCGTTGCACCTGTCATCTGTCTTCTTCCACTCATGCGACGGTCATAGATATGAAATATATATATATATATATGTATATGTATATATAAATATATACATATTTATAAGAATAACCCTTACAATATATATTTAGAGACGTCTGTGGAAGGCGTTGGTGTGTCTGTGTGTTCGTGTGTTTGGGGTCAGCAGGACAGCAGGTTGCGTGAGAGGTTGTTGTTCTTTTTCAACTAAACGCTTTGTGAGTGATTACGATTCAGGGTAACCTTTCTACCCTAATCGCTCACCATTAACTGAGCCATTTTTTTTTTCCCACGTGGACAATTCACTTCAAACGCTTCCCATTTTGTCTGCGTGTCCACATCACAGCTCGTAAAGCGAGCGTGTTTACTGACGCCGCCACGCTATCTTAAGCTTTCCTTTAATCTGTTTTCATTGCTTTTGTAAATGTCAAGTTTTTTTTTTGTGTTGACATTTAAGGTATCTTTAATTCACATGACGTGTTTTTTTGTTTTGTTTTTTTTTTTCCTGAAAAATAACTTTTCAGTAAGTGCCTTCTCAGACTGCTAACTAGTCAACGGAGCTCAAGGTTTCTGGACTGAAGAAGCCTCTTGTTTAAGAGGTGAAACGTCTTCGAGAAACCTACTCCGTCTTGTTGCCCTCAATGTAACTCTTTTTGGATAAGATGACCAGGATGAATGAGAACCAACACAGATCATCAATAGAAAGATTTTTTCGGTGTTTACATTGTCCAATATAGATAGATCTATCTATAGATAGATGGATGGATGGATGGATGGATGGATGGATGGATGGATAGATAGATAGATAGATGGATAGATAGATGGATAGATAGATAGATAGATAGATAGATAGATAGATGGATGGATGGATGGATGGATGGATGGATGGATGATAGATAGATAGATAGATGGATAGATAGATGGATAGATAGATAGATAGATAGATAGATAGATAGATGGATAGATAGATGGATAGATGGATGGATGGATGGATGGATTAATGTGTTACACATTATTAAATTTAAATAAATGATTTGCATCTTATTCAAGCAGTGGTGCAAGTAACGGAACGTTTGTACTCGAGCCAGACCCTGGCAAGTTAGTTTGGTTCTATTCACATTTTATTGCTTATTTTCACGCACCTCGTCTTTCTACTCCTCATCTGCCCGTTTTCTTCTCAAAGTTGGCAAATATTGTAAAAATGAAAAAAAAAAAAGAAGAAGCTGACTCTTTGTGTACTTAACATTTTATGCCTGTTTTAGTTATCACAAGTTAAAGGAAAAGCTTTCAAGGTCAATCATTTGGTCACGCCGGTGTTGACCCCGTAAAGAAGCCAATGGCCTCTAAAGCACGTACTGATGGGTTTTTATGGCCAGAGAACAGTCATTTCTCCTGTAAGGAGGTGTCAAAGATACGGCCCGCAGGCCAAAACCGGCCCGCCCGGGGGATCCAATACGGCCCGCTTGATGAATGTTAAAAGTGAAGAAAAAAATTCACAAACCCCTGCATGTTAGTGATGTTTTGCCAACTTTTTCTTCATTATATTTGTACTTATTTGTGTCACAACAAAGGAAAAAAAAAACACAGACTTATTGTTATTTATAGGTAATTATGTTTGATGGACGATAGACGTTAATGACAAAACAAATGCGTATGAAGGAAGTGATGCAGTTTTTCACCCAAATGTCTTTACTAGTTTTTTTGCTCGTTTCAAATGCATGCAAGTATTCAACTTCATCATGACATTATTTATATATTGATTATGTGTACATTTAGAATTAAACTCGGGATAAGATGACATAAAGTTCCTTTGGTGACTTGGAAAACAACCTTTTAATGTTGAGGGTTCTTTTAAAAAAAAAAAACCAGGGGGCTCAGGGGTTTGCTTTGTTTTAACCTTGAATCCAAAGAGACTTAACAGATGGACATACCACAATGTCCGTGCAGTCATCGTATCCTTAGAGGCTTGAGTGAAGGAGGGCTATCTGAGGAATTAGCATTGCGTCAAACGCTCAGCTTCACACCGCCTTAGTCCCCGAGTCGTTACTGGTCAACGTGCGAGACAAGGAACAGGGTTGAAAAATGCTGTGGAAGTACCGTGAATAAATACTTCCAGTTAACAACTTTCTTTCAAGTAGCTAAAGTCTGTTTCAAATCAGCGGATCATTGTGGCGTATTTTCTTCCCGTCCCCTGACGTCTGGTTTCTGGTTTCAGCCCCGGACGTCTTTGGCCCTGGTCCTGTTCTCAGTACCACCGCCGCGTTAGAGCAGTTGTCATAAAGATGAGGAACAAGTTCAAACCCGCGCGAATGACAGAAAGAGACAGGGCGCGATTTTAAACGGGACGCACATTCAGCTGGGCTTCCAGCAGAGCCCAGCAGGGGGCAGCACTGGTGACTTGGTTTTACAGAAAGATTCAAGGGTTAACACAACATGTTTGGATTGCATTGAACTTGTATTTGATTAACTCATCACATGGTGGTAAATATCAACTGGTGGCCCGCGGGCTTAATCCGGCCCATCGGATATCCCAATCCAGTCCATGACTGGATACATCAGATAATAATGTTAGACAGAAATATGATTTGAGTGTCTGTCCAAAGTGTCTGATTTTTTTTTTTTTTTTTTTACTTGTGACTACCGGCACATACGGCGGCGTTGTTTGAAATATGATTACTGACGTTGTAAATACAGAACGCTGACTTATGCGGCTTCACCTTGAAAGCAGCCTAAATAGTGTACTGTCAGTAGTGTTATATTTAAACAGTCCACCCTCATGTTGGATGCCGGAGCTAATGTCCCATTGGGAAACAGTTACATTCCATGTTTGGAGTCTGGATATAAGTGTTACGTATTCAACATGTGTTGACTAAATGTAGGACTTTGAGTTTGATCTAAATATTGAATCCATTTTATTCAACAGGTTCCGCCAATGGCAGACAGAGGCCGCTATTTGCGAGGAGGGGACAGTACGAGCGACAGAGTTTGCCGGTAAGCTGAAGTTCCGTCTTTTTTTTTTAAAATCTTGTGACAGATTCAAACGTTTTTAAATCTTGATATACAAATATATATATATATAAATGTACTGAGTTACTGCGGAGGAGACGCACCATGAGGTTGAAGTTCATTTACTGTCTTTCTTTGCCCATCCCCACCCCACCCCCCACCTGCAACAAGTCCAGAGCGGTCTACGCTTCATCACGTGGCCTTCCTGCGCCTCCTAGAATCGCTCCGCCTCCAAAAGCGGCGCCCAAACCTGTAAAACCCACGTGCTCTTTGCTCGCTCAGAGTTGTTTACCCCAGAGCGGCTGCTGCGAACCGCACACCACGTGCCACTGTCGCTTCTTCAACGCAATCTGCTTCTGTCGGAAAACAATCTTGCAATATGAGAAGAAATCATAAAAAAAAAAAAAAAAAAAAAAAAAAAAAAAAAAAAAACATGAGGGCAGCTACGACTGCAGAACAGACCAAGGTCCAGACAGACTGGGAGGGTGTGGATGCAGAAGCAGGTCCTCCACCTTTGGACTGGGAAACAGACTGTTAATCACCAAGTACTGGCGTTAGTCAGTGTTATTTGCATGTACTGTACTGTATGCCCCCCCAAACCACTGGCGATTTAACCTGTGAGTTTAACACCTAGGATACGTATTACTTATCAGTTATTGTATACTTCTGTCACAATCGAATGCACACGACACGGTGATTCTGAAATCTGTCTGTAATCATGATCGACTTTGGTCGTCACTATTTAACTAATGAATAATATGCATGTACAAGTATCCTTATTTATTCATCAATCAGTTTGTAAGCTTTCAGTATGGTTCTTCCCGAGAGACTTATGTATAATTGCGGTTTTGAATAAAGTATATTTCTTTAAATAAAAGAATCGGCGTGAAGAATCCCGCACAAACCATGTGGTGTGTTGAAGATTCCAATTCAAAACTGAGAACTTGAAAATAACTACCGTATTTAAGCACGAGTCGCAACAGCCAAAGGATGCAAAAAGGTGCGATGTGCAGCTACACAAGTCTAGAGTGCCCCCTAGCGGCTGGCAGTGTGAAAATAACAAATGTACATTTTCAGTGATACAGGAGTAGCAGATACTGGTACACAAGTCTAGAGGGCCCCCTAGCGGCTGTCAGTGTGAATATAACAAACGTACATTTTCAGTGATACAGGAGTAGCAGATACTGGTACACAAGCCTAGAGTGCCCCCTAGCGGCTGTCAGTGTGAAAATAACATAAACAATATATAAGTCGCAAACCCAGCCAGAGGATGAAAGAAAATGCGACCTATATTCTGAAAAATACGGTAAAATTTTGTTAAATAGATTAGAGCAATTACATTTGAATTTCTAATCACTTCTCCCTGTGGCTTTGATATTATAAACTGAATATGGGTTTTTTTTAATCATCATTTCAGCAGAAAAGTCATAATTTAAATTGTAGCATCAGCACCATCTATGGGTCACCACATATTTTTTGATCTCTGGTCTTGAGGTTTTTATCGTTGGGTATGGAAGTACGAAGAAAAATAAAAAAAAAAACATGCACAGAAAAACTCTATTGAATCCGTTTTGAGGTTCGCTTTATGATCAAGGTCAAAATCCGGACTCTAAATTATTATTATTATTATTATCATTATTTCAGATGACATTTAAGGCATTTATCATCATGTTTTATCCTATAATAAAAACTTTTGAAAAAATATTTTCTTTTTCGTATGTCCAATTTTGTTAAACTGGTGTCCGAGCCCGTGTCGTTTACAACGATCTCTTAACGATCTCTTAACGACAACCCTCAACTCTATTTGCCCCCGTGGCTCGGTCTTCTGCATTGTAAAGTTTTATCTGTACACGGAGACCCCTCTCCTCAGGTCTGCTCACTTCCCTGATACTCATCTTCTGGTGACCCCTGTAAATGACCTCTGAGCCACATTTCCGGTTGCTGTTTCAAACATAAACGTTTTAACGGTGGCGCTATAAAAGGAAAGGAGTTTCCTCAGTGCCCGTGTCCGTCGCGTCAGTCCACCTTCTCCTTACAGAGCTGTAAGGTCAAACATCGTTTCATGCTTCGTCTTCCAACACAAGCGTCTCCTCCTGCTTTGCGACATCGTCTTCGTTTCGCCCCTTTTAACGACGCAAGGCCGTGACTCGTCTTGGTCTCTGAATTACACCAACGCTACCAAGCTAATAAAAAGGGAACAACAATGTCGGCTGACAGGTCGCCATTAGGTTTAAATGCAACGTGAAGGTACGTAGTTTCACGGGACTCAGGTCGTTGAGTTGATGATAAAACGGTATTTTAAACCAACTGTGTCCTGTCAGGCGAGCAGTTACCTGCACATTACGCTAACACGCTTCGGTCGTAACGATTTAAACCATTTAAACAGTCAAGTCGACATTTTCACCAGTAACGTCTTTTCCCACCAACATTTATCTGCTTTGTCTTCTTCGTAGCCACTGGAACAATTATCACACGTGTCAAGAGCACAGACTAAAAAAAAACAACTAACTAATAAACCGGGCTCATAAATAGTTGTTAAGATGTTCAGTTATTTCATAAAACTTAATGAGGGGTGGGGGAGGTTCAAATTTTATAGGGTTAAAATGTTATGCTTGTGGGTTTTGTGTTAAGCGCCAAAGACACCAATAAACAGACGGGCCACCTTCAGGGTCATTTAACGACTGCTGCGGACAAACACGTTGCTTCGGCATGTGTACAACAGGTCCCTGTATTTTAGGAATCATTTTATATAACTTTTGTCATTGTCTAATGGTGACGTCTGGAGATTTTTTTTTATTGTTTCTTCCTAAAATATGATTTTATTTTGATTTTATTATTATTATTATTATTATTTAATAATAAAAAAAATCCTTCTGAAGTCTTCTGAAAGTTTTTGGAAATTCATCATGTAATTTCAGCAGCTCGATTATTCATGATATGATATGATATGATATGATATGATATGATATTATATTATATTATATTATATTATATTATATTATATTATATTATATTATATTATATTATATTATATTATATTATATTATATTATATTATATTATATGATATGATATGATATGATATGATATGATATGATATGATATTATATTATATTATATTATATTATATTATATTATATTATATTATATTATATTATATTATATTATATTATATTATATTATATTATATTATATTATATTATATTATATTATATTATATTATATTATATTCTTTTTTTTTCCATCTATGCCACTTGTTCACACCCCTTTCTTTTTCTTTTTAACAGCTGCTACCTTCAGCGCACTAATGGAGTTAGCATATTGGCGCGGTGGTTACAGGATCAGGCTTGTGATTGGACGACTGTGGTCCCAAACCCCACCTCTGCTCCCCTACAATCGTAAAAAAAAAAAAAAAAAAAAGAAAAGTGTAGAACTCCTGCCTCCCATGCCTTAATTACTGGGGAGGTTCACATCAGGGTCTTCTTTTTCTTCTAGAACCCTCTTGTTTATCTCCCAGACAGCTTCAAAACATATGTCATTATTTGTTAATCATCTGTGTTTTTCACAGAGCTTGTGGATGGTTCTAATTTGGTGTAAATCAGTAGTACTATTCCAAACGTGTACCTACTGCCTCAAGTCAAACTGAGGATCTTGTCGTCGTTTTATGGTGTATTGTGGTAATTTATAACCTGTAACAGCGAGAACAGGCAGCGAGGCTTTATCCGTAATCTGATTGTCCTCTTCTCCCTACGCGCAGATTATTCGCTCAAAAACAAGGTCACAGCCAGGCAAAGCACTTCATATAAATCCACTCTTATATCTTGAAGCCCTCCCTAAATGTAATGAAATTTCTGTACTCATTGCGTTCCGCGCAGCGTATAAATTTAGAGCATGTGTGAGTTTTGGGGCTGTTGAGTCAAATGGGGGCCACAAAGTGAAATGATGGTTTGCACATCTCTGCCTCATGGCGAGAGGGTCACAGGTTCAAATTCCGAATACTGCAAAAAAAAAAAGCACCTGTACTTGGTTTGACCAAGGGCATTTCTCAGTGTCACTGCTTGTTGGGGCAGAAAACAGGAGTTACAGACGTTAAGGAAAAGCCTACACCTACACCCAGCTTCACTGGGAATACGCAAACGCTCCTGGATTCCTGGAATTTGCTCTCTGTCAGCAGGATAAGCGACCCGTGAGTAAGTATTCAAGATGGATGGATGGAAAAGTGACATCCCATCTTTGTAAACCTTGTCAACTCCAGTTCCACCTTTTACCCATATTTCACAATTCACCTTTGGGCCTCGAAAACCTCTGATTCCGTCCCTCAATAGTCCATCATCATTTGTTACGGAGTCCTGAATGGCCTCTCCCGTGACAGGTCTTCTTTGCTTTGTCGAACCACGGAGATATCGGAATTCACATGCTGGACCAGTGATTACGAAACTTGAGTCTACGCGAGAATTTGATGATTTCGTTATCACAATTCCCTTTTCTTTTGTCGTTCATGGCCACAAACCAGTTGCAGATGTCGCGAGGTACGTTCAGGTACCATCAGATTTTGAGAATAAGATATTTTTAATATTTTTTGTAATGCTCCCTGTTAATTTTCTGAGGTCCCTCTAGCGCCCTCTAGCGGCACTCCAGGCTGCTGCAGCCCCCGCTTTGAAAACTGTTGTCTTGGACTGCAGGTATTGCCTTTAAAATCACTCTTTGGCTATCATCTAAAAGAACACAGTGTTACTTTATCATATATGTTTTAATAGGAAGAAAACAGAGCATCTTATCTGTTGCCATGGTTACCTTATCATTTTGTGACCTCAGTAATTTCAGTTTTAGCGTCCGGGTAAGGCAAAACTGTCTGTTTTTATCAATTTGTTTAATGCAAAAAATCTTAAAAAAAAAAAAAAATTATCCTTGTCTTAACTTTTTTTCAGCACAGACAGTTCAAAAACATACCACACAGACCCACTGATAGAAGACAAGCCAGTGCATGGGGAAACCCGTCTGTGTGATCAATTACTTGCTGACCCAGAAAAAGAAAAACACTATCTGCAGGCTTGGGTTGACTGAACAACAGCCTGTCATTGGAGAGATATGCATTCAACTTATTATGAATGACATTAGAAAGATGAAATGCTGACACAGCTGAGAAACTCCAGATGGTCCAGCTCCGGCCTGTGAAGTGTCCAAGTAAGGAGAGAGGGCGGAAAAGAGGAGGGTCAAAATGTTCTTGACTTTGTCCCCGCAAACATGAACAAATAAGGACACGGGGATCGCGATGGCAGATGATTTTTAACCTGTAGGAAGTCTACGGGTGTTAGCAAATATGAACGACATTAGGACGTCTGTGATGCAATACGGGAAACGCATTAGGACGTCTGTGATGCAATACGGGGAAACGACGAGGATCCGAAAACAAACAAACTGTAATGCTTGTGTATAAGATGAATGCTGACTGTATTTTTCGGACCCAAAACAGTAGCATCCAAATGTTGTATCTGTATGTTAGACCAAAAAAAAACAAAAACTGAATCAGTATCAGGGTGAATTGAAATAAGAAAACCCCAAGATTCCAGAGGTCGAACTTGAAAATGATGAACTGCTCTCCCCCCCCTCTGATAGGTTTATCTAAACTGGGAGGATTTCAATTTCACCAGGTATCCCATAAATTTCTGAAAATTTAGTGTGCTCAGGGGAGCAGGGAGTTGTGTTTAAAAAGGCGTCATTAATAATTCTGTGAACATGCAGGATATACGGCGCAGAGGAGTTACGTACATGAACTGCCGTGTATCTGTACTGGGTGGACACGACTCATCACTTACATGTTCAGGAGCAGAACTGCTGATTGAACAAGCCTGGTGCTGCTGCGAGAACAGAACGGTCAGCAGAGCACTACCTTGCACTGCAACACACACACACACACACACTTCACATGATGCAGACTGAGAGAGAAAAGCTCAGATAACAGATTAGATGACGGTGAAATGGTTTTACAGAAACAACAACACAATTCATCATTGATGACGAAGCGTTTTTCTTTTTTTTTTTTTTAGGGTTTCATTCCCACATGCTTGTGGCTAAAAGCCAAAGGGCAGTAAAGGAATACACATAAGTGTGTGTCAGGAGACACAACTCTGCAGGTACGGTATTTTATGAGCCGTGCTTAAACACATCTCGAAGACTCACCGTGAGCTGGGAAGCCATACGGATAGTTGTCCTACACTAACACTTTATTTTTGCGTGGGTCCACAAAGACCTGCAGCATTTGTTGTTAAACATAAAAAAGTGTGATTTACCATTAATCTAATGATAATGCCTATTAGTGTTTTAAAAATGTAATTAAGTTCTGGTGATCCTTTGAGGAGAGATGCTCAAGGGATAGGAGTCAAATATACGGACGTGAACACATTTCCAGATGGTTTCATGATGATTCATTATAGGGAACACTGCCTGCAGGTGTACTGTGCATTCATCGGACACTTTTATACACAGTTTTTGTGCACAGCATTTTTTTTAAACTTTGCACACAGACATTGATACCTCCATCTCCAAAACTCTGCCGCCTCCTTGCAAACCAATGTCGGGTATTTATTAGCATTTAAAAGACTTTTATGTTACTTATGTACCATAAGTGCTATATGTTGGCGTTATTACTGGTAATAATAAAATTAGATTCAGAACAATATGCTTTTGTTTGGAACACAAAATCGTAAATACTAGTTATGACAGTCGTTGTTATGTTATTTAAGTGTTTGCAGGTAGTTGTCTGTAGAATAGTTAGACCTCGTGGGCAAATAACACTATCCCTGTCCATTTATTTGGTATTAGTAGTACACATAAGTGAGGTACGTGGACAGACACTCAGGTGGTTTTATGTTCCCAAAAAATAATAAAAGTAAAGGAAAGTGTATTAGAACAAGGATTATTAGAACTGTAATTTGCACCAATCAATTTATAGATAGATAGATAGAATAACCAATATGGCGGTCAACAGAAGACCTCCAGAAATATATACATAAAATTGTTATTTATTCAAAACAAATATGTATGCTTTTATAATGAGTATTCACTAATAAACAGAATGTATGTATATATAATTTTTATTTTATTTTTTACCTCGATATTAAGCACTTGAACTTTTAATTGGCACGTATCAAGCGATTTTATTGACGTGTTTTAACATATGCACATAGGTATACTGTATACAAAATTAACTTTAAATAGCGCTGGGGTGTTATGAGAGTAAACATTAATAAAACCACACAGGGCGAAGTACAATTGGGTGGAGTAAACTATATCGGTCACATACGAATTCCTTGCACATTTTGGAATACTATTATCTCAGTTACTAGCAGTTCACGGTTTACTGGAGTGTCAGCAAGATGCAGTGCTGAAACACTGCACGCTCATGAGAACGCTTGTCTGTGGGCTAACTCCTAAACCCTGTGCTGTCCCTTGTTATTACACAGCAGTATTTGGGGTGGCGCGCCTGTCACCCGACAGTTCTTTCGCTGGTCGGAGGCTTTTACTCAAAGATGGCTAGAGAAACGTAGCTGGTTGTGGGGCCTGTTTTGTTTGGTTGGGTTTTTTCACCGTCAATTGTAACGGTAGAGAGCCGGTGTGACACGCGGGGTTGGACAGGAGCTGGAAGACGGGAAAGGTAAAAACGCGACTGCTTATGTGTCCTGTGCCACCAACGCTACCGTTTACGTCTTAATAATAAAATAAACTCATGTCAAGTCTAAACCACCTAAAACAAGCAGTTTTACTTGCACTGTGATGGCGGACAATTAGCGCAAATGCTAAGGAGCTAACGGCTAAGTTTGATAGCCCAGCTGGCAAGAGTTTGTTACGTTAGCTTGCTAACGTAGCAGTGTGTGAAGACAGGCGAACAAAACACAAATTATATTATTTTTCTAAAGACAGTTTTGGCTCTTTTTAGCTGGTAGTGGTAGTTGTGCATCCATTATACTTTGAGGTGGTGCTTGACAACAACATCTTTTTTAGGCTAACTGGCCAGTTTACTAGTGGCTCAGCTAACTGACTTCTGGTGCTAGTTAGAAACGTATCCAACAGATTCTACACTTTTGCAAATACAAGTTTAACAAACACAGTTCACAAGATTTACAGCGTTCTTCCCCAACGCTTATTGGTTTCATATGTTACGCCAATATTTTGAGATGTATAGGCTACCGATAGCATGTTGTTGGATAATACCATGTTAGCAAGTGTACCATAGCCATGTCAAACAAAGTGTTTATTTCTGCGTTTAAGTTAAATATTTTGCTTATATATGACCTGATATAAGTTTAAAACGGCGAAGCCCTTTTTCTGCAATGCACGATAATGCAGTCATGTTTTCTATTGTTAAAAACCCAAAGAAGAAACAATTATGTCGTGAATTCTTAGGAACTGACATGTATTGTTTTGCAGTTCATATCGGAGGTAAATCAGAGGTAAACATTGTCAAACGTCACATTATTCCAAACACATCAATAAGCTCAAAGTCATACTATTGGACCAGGGTATACGCTCTGTAAATATCAAATTTACTTTGAAGTGAATCATACGTGTTTTATGATTTTGGATTAGAGGAAAACCCGGAGCGTTCAGATTACCAGTATCTGTTTTGCTCTTGTGTTGTTTTTTTTTTTTGCAGAGGCTGTGACATCACAGGCACCAGTCATAACAGGAAGCAAACAAAAAGCGAAAACGTAGGACGCCTTTCTAGCGTTAGTTCTGTTTCTTTTCAAAGTGAATATAGTGTGGTTGCTAACAATGTACGGTAAGACATTTATGTGATTAAGTAACAGTTTTACAGTGTCAAATTATTCAAGCCTTAGGGAGAGAATGGAAAAAAACAATCTTATCTGTATGAATCATTACATTATTGTATTGTCAAAAACAGAATGCTTAGACCAGAAAGAAAGATTTCTCTAAACCTGGGTTTTGTTTACACTAAAGCTGGTTGGAACCAAAGTTAATGCAAACCTGTTTGCATGACAAAGTCTTTTGACCTAGGTGTGAATGCGGGTTATAGAGGTTGGCAGATTTTGATTTGTTTACAAGAAGCTCCTACAAAGATAAAAGATAAGCTGTCTTATTAAAGTTAAATAATTGATTAAAAAACTCAGTAAACACTTAGGAAGGTCAATGAGTTTTTATAATGTACCAGGTGCTCATGATTTTAGTGTCTGATACATATTCTTGAATCGTCCTGTGCACATATAGCTCTGAAAAGAGCAGTAAAAGTTAACTATTGATTGGAAATCTGTGTACTTTAGTGTCACTGATGGTGGCCTAAATGCACTTGTTTTTACCCTCATAGTCCCTGTCATCTGCTATCACTGTTTGCCTTGCATGTTTACAATACCAAACTATGTATTGCACTATGCATTTTTCATTACCTGCATTTGATTCCACTGAAAAATGCATAGTGCAATATGCATTTTTCAGTATAATCAGAATGCAGGTAGTGCAGATTTCCCAAAGTCACCTTGCATTAATGACTTTAAATTAGGGATCCATGTGCTGCTTTGCTATCAGATAATTAACAGAGCCCAAGACTTGTAGTCCTAGGTTTTATGGCTGTGCGTTGTATGCTGTATAAGTCTGTCTGTGGAAATACAACACCATCTTATGAATTAGCTTCACCAAGTGCATTTTAATGCATGCCTCTTCGCGTATACACTGTCAGCTAGTTGTTTTTGTCATTGTTGAACGTAGCAGTTATTTCTTTATGCAACCAATGTCCAAATGTTGGAATACTATGCTGAAACAGTTGGTAAAAAATATTTCCAACTAACTTGATTAACTCTAAAGCTGCTAGTTCTTCCAGGAAAATGAACAACCAGGGGCGTTTATTGAGTCATTTGTGTTTAGTCTACTCTTCTGCACAACTGAAGTATGCAGGCTTATGATCCTGGGGCTGAATTGAAGTGCTAGACCTGCAGTAAATGTCACCTATGTTTATACTTTATGCCTAATGAAAAGAAGGGCAGAAGGGGGATGGGGTGGCATAGTGGCATACTCAGCAAGGGATGATGCAGCAGTGGAACTTATTCAGCAACGGTCATATCAGGTTAGTTGATTAGCCCAGCCTTAGCATGGTTTCTAATGGTTTGTGTAGCTGAGAGAAATTCAGTGTCAGTGAGACGTTAATTTAATAGAGTAGTCCTTAGTCCATGTGTCAGGGTCCTTTGAAAATAGCATGGCAGTCTCTAACGCAACACTGCCTAATGGGACACTGGCTAAATGGTCACACATTCAGCAGTGGTTTCCACGCTTGACTGTTGCTCACTGAGTCTTTCTCAGTTTTAATATTTCCTTCATTTGTCATTTACTCTCTCAGCCATTTTGATGTCTGTCATCCTGCATATTCAGCTCCATGTTGAATATAAACATCCATGCTCTGTTTTTTCTTTTTCAATTCAGTGCTAGCTCTTTCTGAGGTTGCAGCTGCCTCATGCTCTGATTTCTTTTTTATGTAAGATTTAAAAAAACAAAAAAACAGAACATATTTATGGCTCCTGTTGAGCGTGTCTTGCAAAGTAAATGTGTTGTATTTCTCCCATATTAAAAAAGAAAGAACAAAAGAAAAAAAACTTCAAAGACAAGTGCCTAATTTTAGGTTAGCAGAGTTTAGCTCATACTGTATTCTAATGGCTGTCCTGTGGCGCAGGAGTATGACATCACCAGCACTTGGAGACCGGAGGCTGTTTTCTCAGTGCCAAGACAGCTTAGTGTAGTGTATCAAGTGTTTATCAATTTACACATTTTCACATTACAAAACACAAAGCCTGCTGGTAGAAAACAGTGCATATTGTGATGGCAGCAACAAAAATAAATACACAAGTTTACACATTTTCATGCACTGATAAAAGATAAAGAAATGTTGTGTGGATTTGTAGGTTGTTTTTTTTTTTCAGCCTGGCAGTTAATGACATTGTACTATTCTATAAGGTTTAGTGAAACATTTTAAAGATTTGTTAAGTTGTAAATCCATAGAATAAGGAAGTTCAGAAGCATGTATTCTGCATGGCCGCCTGTTGTAGGTGTTGTTAATATTAATAATCCTTTTTCCCAAACATGCTCATGATCAATTTAAACTTTGTTTCTTTGGTTTACAGCGGTTTACTTAGGTTTACTTCTTAGAAGGAGTATTCTGACTTATCACAGTTAGTTTCAACCTAAATAAGTCTTCCTGTGGTGATTGGTTTTGATTCATTTTTGATCAAACGTTAGGACAGATGTAAACTACAGAAGGTTTGGTTCAGTGCCAACCGTATGGACAGATGATAAACATGCTGTCTTTGGCTTGTTGTTGTTCTCATGGTCCACTGCTGTGAATCATTCGTTCTAGCACCCTCAAGAGCTTTGCCATTTGGGATGAGTTTTCTGTTTTCAATATTATATATAGAAAACATGCAGAAGAGAAGACGTTTGAGAATTCACTTTTCTGTTTCAGAGGAACCATGGGACACGGAGTAGGCTAAACCACCAGGACTAGCAGCACACAACAATTGTGAGTATAATATTTATATGTACAAACATTAATGTAATTGAATTAAATTTAATTCATTTTCAATTACTGTCCAGAGTCGCAGTCTCTGACATAAAAGTGATTAAGTACTATGGAGTTAAGAACATTTACTGCGGTCATAGTGGGTACAAATAACTTAACATTTAGCTGGATTCTTCTGTCTTTCTGGTGTCCTGACACACAGACAGACAGATTCACGTGTAACATTCAACTGTCCAGCGACTTGGCAAGGCTTCTCCTGGTGCTGCTGATGTTTAGCATCCTGCTGTGGAACTGGACATATCCACATTTCCTCGCCTGTCATTCCTGTCCACGGCAGTGTTTTGCAGACATATGAACCGACCAATTACATAAGCATTTAGTTTACAGAGAAATGCATCTGTTTCACATATTAAGTTCGTAAAAAGCCTTTTGTATTTTATTTCACCCCTCAGGACACTGTGCCTGTGTTCCATCATGTTTTGAAAGCTATTTTGGGGGTCAAATTTTTGTAACTTGTTTTCCAACTGTAGCAGGAAAGGTTTGATATTTTGGACAAAATTGTTACTTGTACAGCATTTTGTCCCTTTAAAAAAAAAAACAAAAAAACTAACTTGACCTTGTGTAATGTTCACGTGTTGGTGTTTTTTCAAAGGTTTCCCACTGTGGTGTATGACATGGCCACGGCCTCATCCAGATCTGAGTCGAGCTACAACCACAGAGGAACATCCCCGCTTCATGCCATTGGTGAGTCCAAACACAGCATGTAGTAGTAATGTGTGGGAGTTCTGTTACACCCAACATCCAAGAACCCATCATTCAGTCCCGAGAACTCCCGCTGCTGCAGCCTGTAAAGCAAAACGACGAGTTTTAAGATTTCAACATTTATGAATTAAAGATTTAAAGACGAACGTTGCACGAAAGCAAACACGGATTCCCTTTTGTCCCTTGTTTTGCCAGTTTCCTGTGCCAAAATCAAGAGGAAGAAAAGCCTCTTTGGGACTGCCATTTATGTGGAGGTGACAGCAGAGGGGGAATCACGGCGCACTGCGAAGTCCCACAACTCCTCCAGTCCTAAATGGGATGAGAGTCTCACTTTGTAAGGAGGAATACTTTGCATACTTTATGTTGTGGCAGTGTCTGTGGATGTGTGATCGTGTATTAGCTAGTCTGTCATCTGCTACAGGTTCACAGCATAAAGTTCTTGTCATTTCTGATTCACCCTCAGTTTGGTGAAAGCTTTTCACTGGGCAGATTGTGTTGGAGACATCACTTAATAAATAAATAAGTAAATAAGTAATTGGTTATAGTTACTAGTTTTTGTGTATTTCTTGACCTAATATTCACTATATGTATATATATTTATATGTATTTGCATGTTTGTTAAGGATGATTAAGATGATTAAACACCACATGAAGGTCTTTGTATCATTTTGGGACACCTATACACGAGTAGTGCAGCTGAACCTGAACTTATTTTAAAACTCTGCAAGTACTAAAAGTGGATATTCTCACAGAAAGGATTAATTCAAACTGCTGTGCCCCCTGCAATTACTAAAAGTCCCCAAGGGCGGCGCCCCCCCTACTTTGGGGAAGCACTTGATTAGATCATCTGGAGTTTGGGAATTGACCAACAATGGTTGTTTACCCTGCAAATCTGTCCAGTTAATTCCTTAGTGTAACCAGTAATAGGAAGAGCAGCAGAAGATTATTTTCAGTGAACACTCTCCTATTTGTTTGTGTATCTTTCCATCTAGGAATGTAACACCGCACACACAAGTGGACTTTAAAGTATGGAGTCACCACACCCTGAAAGCAGACGCTCTGCTGGGAAAAGCCACACTGGACTTAATGCAAGCACTGGAGCAGCACGACCGAAAATGTACGAATACAAACTTGTGTTTGAGTGTTATAATAAAAGGTGGATGGAATTGTTACTCTCAGTTATTGTGGTTCCTTATAAAAGAACAGAAGCGGGCAGTTGTTGTGCGATGAACTGATCGTGTGTATTCTTCCCACCGTTTCTTTGTTCATTCGCAACTAACGTTGTTCTGATGTTCTGCCTCCGCAGTGGAGAATGTGAAGGAGGTGTTGAAGTTGAGTGTAGAACAGAAAGGAGCTGTGTTGCCTGCGGGGGAGTTGACCGTCTACCTTGATGGACTCACTGTCGCTGACCAAGAAGATCCTGCACCGCTTACGAATGGCAATGCAGCAAATGGCACAAGTGAGCTGGGACTCTTTCATTTGAATTGATGTTTGGCTGAGGTTAGGTTAGGTATAACAGACAAACCAGTTTTTGTTTTTTTTTTCCTCACTTTGCATGTTGTATAACTCTGTTTGCGATCATTTCAGAAGCCCAACAGAATGGAGATACCATCCATGAAAATGGGGATTCGTCATCTGCTTCCTCGAGGGCTGCCAACAGGTACGCAACCATTTTGGCTATTTTTTTTGTTGCTGTAGTTAGCAATATTCTGCATGTCCATGTGGTATTACTGTTTAGCTGACCAATCGTGGCCTATTGTAACTTGCATTGACTTGCTCCAACGCATTTAAAGGAAGGTTCCGTGTCTTCTCCTCGTGTCTTTCTTCCCCCTAGTTCTAAAGGTGTACTTGCTCGCTACAAACGGTCGCATTCTAAATGTTGCTCGCTACAATAGGTGGCATTGTAAAACTGCCCTTCAAGGAGGCGTACGGGATTTTTAGTGTAAACCCACAGAGAAAGCAGGTCTGCTACTCAATTCCAGATGGATGCTTGTTTTGGGCTGGAGGGATGGGGGGGAGTGGGGGCTGAAGAGGTTTCTTGCTGACTGGATTCTCTCTGCATTGCAGTTTCTGAGGACTGCAAGATGCAAGCAGAGTTATATTTAAAGTGTTTTCTGTTTTCCTGGAATCCCCAAATGTTTGAGTACCTGCACAGAACTGTACTGCCACTGTTCAATTTTTTTCCTCACTTTTTTAAGCATCTGACATTCAGCAAGAAATGAACGGACGACTTGAAAGAAAGCTCATCAACAAAACATTTAATGTTGCAAATATTCTTCTAACTGATCTTATATAACAGGCTTCTTATCTGTCACGCAACCTGCCCTACCCATGTTTACCTAGCTCCCTTTAAACTTTAGCCTCATTTCTTACTGTGTCTGTGTCATATTTGTTATTCCACAGTATCAAATTCACAACATACATGTTGGGTTCCGAGTGTTAAAACTGTGCTTTTTTTCCCCCCTCTTTTTAAAGCACTGTGAATGGTACCGACCTCGGCCAGAGGTCAGATTCTTGTTCAGCCTTTAATGGTGTTGATGACGAGGTGCCTTCTAGCTCCTGCAGCCCTGCTCGTTGTCACATTGTCAACGGAGATACTACACCCAACTCTACGCCGGTCCACCAACCCACGGGCAGCGACACGGAGAGTAAAACGGGTGAGTTTGCTCATTTAAAATGAGTTGCTGCTTTGTTCTTTGGTTTTTAATGTCTCATTCATTCACCCACTGATCTTCCATTAGCGTATAGCTACTCCATTTTCTTTTAATTTTGAGTCCTGGGACAGTACTTATCTTTACTCTCTTGGTGGGCACAGAGCACAATAGAATAGGAAGGTAGATTAATTTTCATTAAGTAGCGCTGTTTAATCTCTGCTGCTGTCAGCAGCTGTATGGAAAACTCCCCACAGGGATTGACAGAAAGCAGAAAGGGAGCAGCAGGGCTGGCATTTCTCTGTAATAACGCTGTGCTAATCTCTCTTTAAAAATACCCATTCCTAACATGTATGACTGAGATGATGCCCTGGCATTTTTTAAGAATGTAACTAGTTCAGTTTCATGTTTCTAGTCCTTCAAAACATCTACCTGGTTGTAAAAGCCTTCTACTCAAAGCTCTGATCAAAAGGCTTACTGTTTTTACTCGGGGTATTATGTGCATGTGTGTGTTTTTGTACATGCTTTTAAATGTTATCAGTTTAGACCTAAGCTGAAAATCCTGTGTTGATGGACACATACGAGGCTTCTTTAATTAGAAGCACACGTTTGATCTGATGGCACCACCGCAAAGTCATTTTCTAGTCGTCTGGAGTTTTGCTTTTAAAAGCCCTTTCTTTCTGATCTGCCTGCAGTCAATGGGGAGTCCTGTGACGTAGACCTGAGACCGTTATGTGCGACGTCGAGCGATGTGCCGTCGTCCTCCGAAGACCGTGAGTTCTGCAGTCAAGATGTCCCCGCGCCCGACACCACCACCATCACCACCACCACCACAGCACCAAATGCCACAACTCAACTGTCACCTCCCGACACACAGGCGTCCACCTCCCCATCTGATAGTAAACCTCCTGAAAGCGATGCTGCTACTGCTCCTCCTCCTGCCGCTCCTGCTGCTGCTGCTGCTCCTGCTGTCACGTCCTCTGCCGCTGCTTCCTCCACTCCTACCACCTCAGCCCAAGGGGCCCCCACCATCACAACCTCCTCGTCGCTGTCCTCTTCCTCCTCAGCCCAAGGTGAAGCAAACTCTTCAGGTGCTGCTGGCGGTAGCAGCAGCAGTAGCATAGCAACGGTGCCCGCGGACGGGGGCAAGCCCAGGCAGCAGGCTCCCAATGCTGGGGCACCGGACCCTCTACCACCAGGGTATTAATGATGTTTACTTTCTTGAGTTCATATTTAACATTACATCCTCTCTCATTAACCTGAGACGAAATAATATTATTGTTGCTGGCAACTGTCTCTTTTAGTTGGGAGCAGAGAAAAGACCCACACGGAAGAACATACTACGTAGACCACAATACCAGAACGACCACCTGGGAAAGACCACAGCCACTGCCACCAGGGTGAATCTCCAACTTTTACTTCATATATTTCCTCATCTTGTTTTGGCTTCATACTGTATGTATTTCCTAGTATTATTTTTATTACATAAGCAGGAATCCCCTAATGTCCTGCCTTGACTAAAAAAAAATCTCTTTCTCTGTTTCTCTGTCTCTCATAGTCATTTTAAGATATTTGGAATGTCTTGTGACTTCAAAAAATGCTGTATACACAATCAAGCCTTTGTTAGTTCCATTAAAAAAAAAAAGAAAAAATATTTTTAGCCACATGCTCACAAACCTAATCCCGTCTGTCGTAATGTCCCTCTCAAAATGTCACTAGTTGGGAGCGCCGTGTGGACGACCGTGGCAGGATCTATTATGTGGACCACAATACCCGCACCACCACATGGCAGCGTCCCACCATGGAGTCGGTGCGCAACTTTGAGCAGTGGCAGAGTCAGCGCAGCCAATTGCAGGGAGCTATGCACCAGTTTAACCAGAGATACCTCTACTCTGTAAGACCCCACCACCACCACCACAGCCAATGACTACTACTGAGTTTGTCCATTATGTTTTTTGTCTTTTCTGATGCCTTTTGCCCCACCAGTCTCATCCATCATCTGGCTTAACCCTAAAATCGGAAGAAGCTGCATATTATAAAGCATTAAACACTAATGGAGTCTTTCTCAGAGAAAGAACATTTGGGATGTCATCTTATGTCTTCAATATTTTTTGAGGCAGCTTAGATATTTTCTGGACCCTTTTTTTTTTTTTTAAAGTGTCTTTTTCCTGTTTTCAGGCATCGATGATGTCTGCTGAAAACGATCCTCTCGGCCCACTACCTCCAGGCTGGGGTGAGTTTACATTCTTCTAAACATCGAAACGTCGGTCTGTGACAGTTGTTAGCCCACGATGGAACCTGGTATTGATATTGTATGTGAAGCTACAGATTTCTTTATGCGTCTTTCTGTGTTTTCAGAGAGACGTGTCGACTCCAATGATCGAGTGTACTTCGTCAACCACAACACCAAGACAACGCAGTGGGAGGACCCGCGAACCCAAGGGTGAGTTAAAAAAAATTATATATCTTTGTTTAAAATCCACTATTATACTATATAATATTTTATTAAACTATTAAAACCCATGTAGTGGGACAATAACCTGCTTTAAACAGCAGAAATCAAAATAATTTTTTTTTATTTTTTAAAAATAAATACTAATCTATTGTGAAAAGATCAAATTCTTCTTTTTTGATTTTGAATTTTTGCTTTTTTTTATTTTTTTTATTTTACCTTCAAGAATGTTGACCACTTTCTAATCTATTGTGAAAAGATCAAATTCTTGTTTTTTTATTTTGAATTTTTTATTTTTTTTATTTTTTTTTTATTTTACCTTCAAGAATGTTGACCACTTTCCTGCTTCATCCAAACGAATTTTGCCTTCAAAAACAAGTGTTGATGCTGACTGTTTTGCATGCTTTTTATTAGTGGGTTTTATGTTGGGTTAAAGGTTACAGCTGGGAAGTTATGTTATGTTTTAAAGAGTCCCTGGTCTGTCTAACTTTTATAGCAAGGAATCTGCCTTTAACAGCAGGTGTTTAAGTCAAAACACAAACTGAAGGTGAGCAAAAAAAAAAAAAATGCATAAAGAGGTTTTTGTTCCCCCACGTCGGTTGGTGGGTTATTAAAATATTCAAATCTGCCAACTTACCAGTTACAGCAATGAATAGATAAATAAATAAAAACATTGTTTCACTGTTATAGTGTATGTGCAGGATTTTAACGCTCAAATCTTTGTGTCTTTAGGCTACAAAACGAGGACCCTCTGCCTGAAGGCTGGGAGATCAGATACACCAGAGAAGGTGTGCGCTACTTTGTGGATCACAACACTCGAACCACAACTTTCAACGACCCGCGCACCGGAAAATCCTCTGTGTAAGTTCTTTTTTTTTTTTCTTTGTTTTCTCCAGCCTCGCGTGAAAAGTGACAGATCGGGCAGCTAGTACGCCTGCATGTAAAGTTGTATAACATGGACAAAGTAGAGCTATTTTTATTTAATTAATCCAATGTGCAGAGGGAAGAAACAGATGTATGTTTTAGGCTTGTATGTCACATAGAGGGAATTATGGAGATCAGTGGATTTTGTCAAAGGCGAGGGAACATTTGACATTTGACATCTTTTTTTCTCTCGTTTGACTCTGCTCAAAGCCCTAGATCTGTTAACATTAATTAAAAAAAAATTTAATTTGTCAATTCACAGCACCAAAGGCCCTCAGATTGCTTATGAGCGCAGCTTCCGATGGAAACTAGCCCATTTTCGATATCTGTGCCAGGTGCGTCATTCCTCTTTGCCTTCATCATTCTTTGTTTTAAGTCACACACTTCAGGTGTATTTCCTAACGTGCGTTAATACTCTTTTACAGTCCAACGCTCTCCCTAGCCACGTGAAGATCACTGTCTCCAGACAGTCACTGTTTGAAGACTCTTTCCAGCAAGTAAGACTCCCTACGACGACTTTTCAGCTGTCATTTAGAAACGCACTTTACATCACAGCCTTGAGTCAATGCCTTCTCTCTGTGTGTGTTCTTTTATAGATTATGGCACTCAAACCCTACGATTTGAGGAGAAGACTATATGTCATTTTCAGAGGCGAGGAGGGTCTGGACTACGGTGGCTTGGCTAGGTAACTGCCACTGATGTATTCATTTATTTTGTTTTGTCAAATTGGCTTTTTTTTTTTTAATATATCTTGGCCATCTTTCCTCTTCTTTTCAGGGAGTGGTTCTTCTTGTTGTCCCATGAGGTGCTGAACCCCATGTACTGTTTGTTTGAGTACGCTGGGAAGAGTAACTACTGTCTGCAGATCAACCCGGCCTCGGCCATCAACCCCGACCACCTCTCCTACTTCTGTTTCATCGGGCGCTTCATTGCAATGGTAAACAAGGGGTTGTGCCGGGATTTAGCGACACGTTTGTTTTCACCGATACGTATCACGCGT